TGAAACTGGTGAGCACGTTGTAACACGTGACAATATGCCCTTGCAGCAAGACCTGAGCAAGGCTATTAAAGGTAAAGGTTTCCTTTGCTTGAAAGCCAGTCGAGTCCGACTCTAGGGTTACGGTGCTCATCTCCGTTTCAAAGCCAAAGAGCCAGCGCTGTCCGAAGACGTTTCCGTGGTCATGTGGCCGGCATGACTAAACACCGAGGCGCACGGAACGCTGTTGCCTTCCCACCGAAGTGGTCCCTATTTATCTACTTGCAATTTCTTGCTTTTGAACTGCTAGGTTGGCAGGAGCTGGAACTAGAGAGGGGAGCTCACTCCATCATGCGGCACACCCGGGTCTCGAACTGCTGAACTACTGACCTTCCACAGCCTGCAAGTTCAGCGTATTAAGGATAGGATTCTCAGGGCTTTAACACAGCAACGCTTGGGGCTAGGTGTGGCAACAGACTTACAAAGTTACACGGAGTCAGCAGTCAGTTCCAAAAACTAATAAGTAACTTTTATTAAAGGAAATACATGTATTTATTTATGTATTTATTTATTTGTGTATTTATTTATTTGTTTATGTATTTCGATTTCTATCCCGCCTTGCCTGACGGCTTGAGAGTGCAGGAAAGATTGCAGCAGTTACAATATGTAGCGTCAAAGCTTTCACTATTTTTCCATATACATCTGGTATCATGTTAAGAAGGAAAATTTCTGCAAGAATTCTCTACGCCAAATATTGGAAAACAGATAAAGTTCCAGACAAGGCAAAAGCCATGCAGAAGATATTCGAAGTTGCAGAAATGGACAAATTAACGTTAATGTTAAAAGGGAAGGATGAAGCTGTTTTTGAAAAGAAGTGGATTAAAAGAGAAGAAGAGGAGATTGGATTTATACCCCGCCCTTCACTACCCGAAGGAGTCTCAGAGCGGCTCACAAACTCCTTTCCCTTCCCCTCCCCACAACAGACACCCTGTGAGGTAGGTGGGGCTGAGAGAGCTCTGACAGAAACTGCTCTTTCCCAAGAACACCTCTGACAGAACTATGGCTTGCCCAAGGTCATCCAGCAGCTGCGAGTGGAGGAGTGGGGAATCAAACCTGGTTCTCCCAGATTGGAGTCCGCGCACTTAACCACTACACCAAACTGGACTGGATTTATACCCCGCCCTTCACTACCCAAAGGAGTCTCAGAGCCTCTTACAAACTCCTTTCCCTCCCCCTCCCCACAACAGACACCCTGGGAGGCAGGTGGGGCTGAGAGAGCTCTGACAGAAACTGCTTTTTTCCAAGGACAGCTCTTATCAGAACTACGGCTTGCCCAAGGTCATCCAGCCAGGTGCAAGTGGAGGAGTGGGGAATCAAACCCGGTTCTCCCAGATTAGAGTCTGCGCACTTAAGCACTACACCAAACTGGCTCTCAAAATCACCAAACCACTACACCAAACTGTATAACTGGAAAAATACAACTTGAGGGGTTTAGTTTAAGATGTATAGTTTTGAGTGGGTGCCAGGGCTCTTTTTGTAGCAGGAACTCCTTTGCATATTAGGTGACACACCCCTAATGTAGCCAATCCTCCAAGAGTTTACAGAGCTCTTCTCAAAGGGGATACTGTAAGCTCTTGGAGGAATGGCTACATTAGGGGTGTGTCGCCTAATATGCAAAGGAGTTCCTGCTACAAACGCTGCTGAAAGCTTTCTTTATTAAATATGTACAATTAGCTGGTGATTTATTTTGATTTATTATTTTGAGAAAACCCAATAAAAATATCTAGAGTGTAAGAAAGAGATAGATATAGGCCCCGGTCACACGGGCCAGGTAACGTGGGGGGTGGGGAGGCGTGGCTGTTTGCCCAGGAGCAAAATAAAGCACGGTAGCCCGATCACACGGTCCCCCGAGTCTCCGCACTTAGGCTGTTAGCTGGCGATCACGCGACAATGCTGGAGCGTGGCTAAGAAGCGGCGCAGCAAGTGTTTCGTGTTTGTGCGCATGCGCAGTTCCGCGGAGCAGCACTGATTTCAGTTACGTGTTTGTGCGCATGCACTTACGAAAAACATCCGGTTTGCGTCGGGACGTGGATGGGCGCCGGATGCCACCGGATACCAGCGCTCCCACGATCAGATGCCCACCCCTGCCCCGCGTTTTCCAGATACTAGTGCACCTTCTGCCGTTCTTTTTTACTGTGCGTCTTCAGCGGGACGCCATGGGTTGGCTACGCTTCCCATTCCAGGACAGAAAATATGTTTAGTCACAAAAACCTTAAAATATTTATGAACTATGATAATCCAAAAAAAAACAAAAACCCACACCCTTAAGATATATAGAATCAGGGGTCATTTCCTGCAGGAGCGCACAGGAGCGGAGCTCTGGCAGTAAAGAGCCCAGGGGGCGGGCACATGCAACAAGCCCCGCCCCCTGCTCCCGGCACCCCTTAGTCAGAGCAAGAAGCAGCCAGGTAAGTTGCAGAGCTCTCCCCTCCCCCGGCCCAAAACAGTCCAGTGGCACCTTTAAGGCCAAGTTTTATTCAGGTACAAGCTCTCCCTCCTCTGCGAGGACAGATCTGCACGTCCCCCCCCCTCAATAGCTAGCAATCCAAAACAGTCCAGTGGAGCCTGAGCGGTGGGTGTTGCCTTCTGACACACTTCCAGTGATGTAAGGGGGTGTGGCATATGCAAATAAGTTATGCGAATGAGCTCCTGCACCTCTTTTTCTACGAAATGACCCGTGTATAAAATCATAGAATGTTAGAGTTGGAAGGGACCTTGGAGGTCATCTAGTCCAACCCCTGCACTCTGCAGGAGCAGAGCCGAAAGAGAGGCCTATGTACCTACAACATACCCGAAAGATGGTCGTCCAGCCTCCCCTTGAAAACGGTAGCACCTTAAGGACGAACAAAACTCACGGAAGCTCCTCCCCCTGCCACAAATGTTGTTAGTCTTCGAGGCGCTCCTGGACTCTTACTCTTTTCCAGGGGTCATTTCGTACAAAAAGAGGTGCAGGAGCTCATTAGCATAACTCATTCGCATATGCCACACCCCCTGACATCACCGGAAGTGTGTCAGAAGGCAACACCCACCGCTCAGGCTCCACTGTACTGTTTTAGATTGCTAGCTATTGAGGGGTGGGGAGGAACATGCAGATCTGTCCTCGCAGAGGAGGGAGAGCTTGTACCTGAATAAACCCTGGCCTTAAAGGTGGATTGCTATCTATGGATGGGGGGGCTCTGCAGCTTACCTGCCTGCTTCTTGCTCTGACTGAGGGCTGCTGGGAGCAGGGGGCGGGGCTTGTTGCATGTGCCCACCCCCTGGGCTCTTTACTGCCGGAGCTCCGCTCCTGTGCGCTCCTGCAGGAAATGACCCCTGCTCTTTTCTACTGCTATGGACAAAGACGGCTACCCATCTTGAATAATTTGCTCTGCTCTTCGCAGCTGCTGAAAGATTACTTTGGTGTATAGATAAGCAGGATGAAAGTTTGGATTCTGGGCTTGGGTCAGACTGGATGGGGAGTTCTCCCTCTGCCTTGTGCATGGGCCCTGTTCAGAGGAACTAGAAAGTTATGAGGGGGGTAATATTTAGTGTTGCCAAGTCTGCATTGAGAAATTCCTGGAGATGTGTGGGGTGGAGCCCGGGGAGGGCGTGCTTTGAAGAAGAGAAGAGATTGGATTTCTACCCCCCCTCCCCACAACAGACACCCTGTGAGGTAGGTGGGGCTGAGAGAGCTCTTTCGACGACTGCTCCTGAGAGAACAGCTCTTATCAGAACTACGGCTTGCCCAAGGTCATCCAGCCAGGTGCAAGTGGAGGAGTGGGGAATCAAACCCGGTTCTCCCAGATTAGAGTCCGCGTACTTAACCACGACACCAAACTGGCTCTCTCTCTTTGGGGAGGG